TATATATATATATATATATATATATATAAGACTGTGTTTGCGTAAACAAAAAAGAGCAGTGGTTTGTTAGGCATGTGAAGGTAAACATTATGTATTTGCTATACAAATGTTGCCATGTTACATTGTAGCCTATCTATTTGTTTTTACCTGGGTAAACAAATCAGCTGCAGTGAACGGAATTAGACGATGAGAGTACATTTCTGAGAGTTCTAATCATTGGTGTTTTGAAACGTTTCGTTTCTAAATCTTATCTGGACTTTGATGATGATGATGATGATCTGGACTTTAGTGCGGGTATGTTTCAACACAAGTATTCTCAATAAATACCATTAGTCCTGTGTAAATTCCGGGCACAGTAGTTATGGGTTCACCACACCACGAAGTGGTGGTGAACCCATATTGCTTTTTTCTGATGTTTCTTCTCCTCCTCCTCCTTCTTCTTCTTCTTCTCCTGCCATTTTTAAATGGATTCAGCTTCTTCATTTTAGGGCCTAAGGTCCTGAAATTTGGTATGGAGGTACAGTGGGCTAGGCGTTTTTTAAATTTTTGTGATACAGGCTTTTAGAATGGTTTTATTTGAGTTTTTTGGCTGTGTTATAGCAAATGTATTACTGTGTTAGTGTGCCGTGTTTACCACGTCTGGGCATGAGTCATCACAATGGAATGCAGGGCATTAACCAATAGGCATGCAGCTTTCCTCTATACTTCTTGCTGATTGGCTGTTGGGATTTAACTTGATTAACACCTGCACAGAGCATTTCCATACTGACAGTATGTCTTTATTCAAGTGTTTTGGTAGGTATTTCAAGATTTTCTGCTCCAGCATTGGAATGCGGGGCATGAACGTTTTTTTTTTATTTTGAAAATCAACAGTTTGCATTATGCAATTAAAAATCCTAACCAATAAAGTAGGGAATAGCTATCCAACTGTTGTTTTAGTTGTATGTTACTTCATATTATAGTTATATCAATGTAAATCATTGTTTTCCCTTGTGTTTCTCATTCTTTCCCTGCCATGTCGTAAAATGTGGTGAACCCATCGCTGTATTTGCTCCAAAGCAAATATTGGCCTTTCTAGTTCAAATCTAAGACTTCCCGATGCAGCTTTTTGTCTCTTCATCTTTTATTAGAGACAAAAGCTACGCGAAGAGACAGTAAACCAATTAAAAACCTTTTAACTTAAGTGGAAGGGTTGCACTGCGTTTCATTTCACCACCCCTTTTCCCAACATATTCACATCCAGAAAAGACATAAATGAATCATAATCTCAATATGATACTTTTCCCAAAGTAATTATCACAAAACTGATATAATCACCAACAAAAGAGAATTGATACTAAAAGATTAAACAAAAACAGTACATTTATGCTTAAGTATTGAAACTATATAGCCTGGGTTCCATCCGCTAGCGACTGTGGGAGCGGACGTACACTAACCAGTCTAGCGGACGTAAACTAACCAGTCTAACCAAACTAGCGACTGTGGGAGCGGACGTAAACTAACCAGTCTAGCGGACGTAAACTAACCAGTCTAACCAAACTAGCGACTGTGGGAGCGGACGTACACTAACCAGTCTAGCGGACGTAAACTAACCAGTCTAACCAAACTAGCGACTGTGGGAGCGGACGTACACTAACCAGTCTAGCGGACGTAAACTAACCAGTCTAACCAAACTAGCGACTGTGGGAGCGGACGTAAACTAACCAGGATGGAACCCAGGCTAGAAACTATCTTTTTTGGTGCTGTAAGATAGTAAAAAACATGGCTAAGTTTTGATAGGATTTTGTTTTTGTTCAACAGCGCCACCTACATACAGTAGTAAGAAGTGCATAAGAAAATCCAAATACCTCTTGTTTTACCAACCTGATTAAATTATAATCGATCCTAACCACTGTGTTTTACTGGGTTTCTCACCCGAGCTAACTATAGGTACAAATCAGACTTCTGAGCTGCAGTATAGTCACTTTCATATTTTGTATGCGTTTTCATATGTTGGTTTAAGGTATAGCAGCGAAATGTCCTAAATCCACACTTCCCTCACATGTAGGGTTTGTCACTCGTGTGTTTCATGATGTAGATCCGAAGTAGGTTTCTGTGCAGCAGAAAAGTCACACTGGTCACACTTGTAGGGTTTTTCTCCGGTATGTTTTCTCATATGTCAGAATAGGGCAGAGCTGTCAAATGTCCTGTGCCCACACTCCTCACAAAGGTAGGGTTTCTCACCAGTGTGCTTTAAAGGAGTACTAACCTCCAGAAGGAGGTGCTATATTTCGACAGGCATTTATTTTTGGAAGTGAAAAATGCATATTATTTTACAGTATACAATTAAATGTCCATTTTGCGCGCAAGTCTTAAAACGCATCGAATCCAGGACAAACTCTCCAAATACCCTCAAAACTATCCCAGAATGCACCACGCTACCCCATTGGTGTCTATGTTTTAAACAAAAAGTTACGTTACAGACTTCATTTCGGGGGCGATAAGAAAAATTCGTACCGTTTTGTGTTCTTTGGTATCTTACCAACCATTGTCCTTCTTGGTGTCCTTATCGCCCCTTATTTATGCCGCAAATATTGACGATGAAAAAAACGGCGTAATCTAGTTATCCTTTCCATAAGTGGCGTAATCTAATTATCTGTTCAAGTAATACTTACATGCAAATAAGTTGAGAAAATCAAAACACGCAGGATGAAACTGGCTCCCGTTGTATTCGACATCCTGATATTATAATATCCAAGCCACAGGTCAAGCAAAGTAAAGCAAGTAATTTCTCAATAATCAGCTTGTTAGTGTGCTTGTCTCCTATCATTTTCGCCGAAAAATGTGTATGTTGACCTCAAGTGTATGAGTATTGCGCAAGCCAGAGTTCCCGGATGTATCAATTGTGGTTCAGCATGGGGAAAAATGATATTAATATCACTTTACAAACATGCGCCGCGCAAGTCGTACAAGCAAAATTATGTAAAAAGTCGGCTAGTTATGTATTCATTACAGCATGATGTATCGGAAAATAGCACTTCGTTCTGGAGGTTAGTACTCCTTTAAGAGATGTAGATCCAAAGAAGATTTGTGTGCAGAGGAATAGTCACACTGGTCACACTTGAAAGGTTTTTCTTATGGGTTCACCACACCACGAAGTGGTGGTGAACCCATATTGCTTTTTCTGATGTTTCTTCTCCTTCTCCTTCTCCTTCTTCTTCTCCTGCCATTTTTTAAAATGGATTCAGCTTCTTCATTTTGGGGCCTAAGGATCTGAAATTTGGTATGGAGGTACAGTGGGCAAATACCCTTAGGCGTTTTTTAAATTTTTGTGATACAGGCTTTTAGAATGGTTTCATTTGAGTTTTTTGGCTGTATTATAGCAAATGTATTACTGTGTCAGTGGGCAGTGTTAACCACATTTGGCATGAGTCATCACAATGGAATGCAGGGCATCAACCAATAGGCATGCAGCTTTCCTCTCTTCTTCTTGCTGATTGGCTGTTGGGATTTAACTTGATTAACACCTGCACAGACCATTTCCACCTGCACAGAGCATTTCTTGCTGATTGGCTGTTGGGATTTAACTTGATTAACACCTGCACAGACCATTTCCATACTGACAGTATGTCTGTATTCAAGTGTTTTGGTAGGTATTTCAAGCTTTCCTGCTCCAGCATTGGAATGCGGGGCATGTACCTTTTTTTTTTTAAAATCAACAGTTTGCATTATGCAATTAAAAATCCTAACCAATAATGTAGGGAATAGCTAGCCAACTGTTGTAGTCTTAGTTGTATGTTACTTCATATTATAGTTATATCAATGTAACGCATTGTTTTCCCTTGTGTTTCTCATTCTTTCCCTGCCATGTCGTAAAATGTGGTGAAGCCATCGCTGTATTTGCTCCAAAGCAAATATTGGCCTTTCTAGTTTTGTATGGGTTCTCATATATTGATATAAGGTGTACTTGTGAGTTGTCCTGTATCCACACTCCCCACACATGTAGGGTTTGTCACCAGTGTGGTTTGCTAGATGTATATTCAAATTGGCTTTCAGTGCTGCAGAATAGTCACACTCGTCACACTTGTAGGGTTTTTCCCCTGTATGGGTTCTCATATGTCGGGATAAGTGAGACTTTTGAGCTGACCAGTACCCACACTCCCCACACATGTAAGGTTTCTCACCGGTGTGTTTTGTAAGGTGTTGATTAAAGCTAAATTTTCGTGTTGCAGAAAAGTCACACTGGTTACACTTGTAGGGTTTTTCTCCTGTATGAGATCTCATGTGGTGGATTAAGTGGGACTTATGACCTGTCCAGTACCCACACTCCTCACATATGTAGGATTTTTAACCGGTGTGTTTTGCTTTATGTTCATTTAAGGTGCCTTTCTGGGTTGCAGAAAAGTTACACTGGTCACACTTGTATTGTTTTTCACCTGTATGGGTTCTCAAATGTTGGGATAAAGAAAACTTGCGAGCTGTCCTGTACCCACACTCCCCACACATGTAGGGTTTTTCTCCTGTATGGGTTCTCATATGTCGGGATAAGTGAGATTTGTAAGCTGTCCTGTACCCACACTCCTCACACATGTAGGGTTTAGCACCGGTGTGTTTTGCTAGATGTTCCTCCAAAGTTACTTTGCGTGCAGCAGAATAGTCACATTGGTCACATTTGTAGGGTTTTTCTCCTGTATGGGTTCTCATATGACGGGATAAGGGGTGCTTTTGAGCTGTCCTGTATCCACATTCCTCACACATGTAGGGTTTCTCACCTGTGTGGGTTCTCATATGTCGGGACAAGGTCGACCTCACAATTGCCCTGTATCCACACTCCCCACATATGTAGGGTTTGTGTCCTGTGTGGATTCTCATATGTTGGGATATGTTAGGCTTATGACCTGTCCTGTATCCACATTCCCCACACATGTAGGGTTTTTCTCCTGTATGGATTCTCATATGTTGGGATATGTTAGACTTATGACCTGTCCTGTATCCACACTCCCCACACATGTAGGGTTTTTCATCAGTTTTTTTTACCATGTGCCTTCCCATATCACCTTTGCTCTCCTGTACCTGTGAGGTTGGCTTCACGGCGGTCGGTTGCTAGGCTAAAAGTCGCATTACTAGGGAGGTATCGGGTTACAGAACGTGTTCGAACGTGGCCGCGCGGGAGTCCCAGGCCGGCCCGGGGGCAACGGGTAAAATTTGAAAATAAACAAAAGTAATTGGAGAGTAAATACTCGTCAAAATAAAATGTAATAAGTGATTTTGTTTACCTCAAATGTTATTCTTGCACTGCCTTTCCTCCACTTTGTGTACATTTGCTTCCAAATGAGATCAATTTCGGATTTCAAAAAGGGTTCACGGGAACCAAACAACTGATTTTAAGAGGCCCCGAAAATTAAAAATAAGGTTAGATTTTTGGATTTTTAGAAATATTACAGTAAATTTAAACTTTCTGTCTTAGGATTTTTTTATTTTTTAACTAAAACTCGACTTACAGTCAAAAGAAGAGCTAAAAACGCAGTGTTTTAACTTTAAATACCGATAATTCATAATCGCGGCCATATTTAAAAAAATCCCTAAGACAGAAATCTGCGGAAATCGTTGCTCTTTCAAACAAGACCTCAATGAGGTAATTTGAACGATTTTTGGGAGTGGTTAAAATACCATGTTTGCACGCATGCTATGCCACTTGGATATGGGGACCTGGGTTTTATAACAGCGTCAACAAGAATTCTGACCTTCAAGGTCACCCACGATGACGGCAGTAGCTTCGTTACATTTTACATATGCACAATAAAATCACGGCATAGATGTAATGTTTTGAAAACGGTTCATATTTGTGGAAAGGTGGATTTTTCCTGTTCCGTGGTTCCCAAGTAAAAAAGGGCTTGAAGTAGCCGGTTGTAGCGGCTTTACTGTAAATGACCGCGGGTAACCCCGGATCGAACGCCCGTTCTATTCGAATGACGTCATATCGAACAAGATTCGCGGGTTCGGGGGATTCGATCTCCATAGTAGCGGATTGGGACTTTTGGGCCCAAATCTGACCATCGTGCTTGTTGACAGGTCGGGGAAAGTTCACATCACACGTTTCCTGCTGCGGGCCCATGTCTGTTGTCTGGGTCTCCCTGCTGTCACTCTCCTCCCCAGGGTGTTCAGAACAGCTAATCTTCTTCCCAGGGTGTTCAGTACAGCTCATCTCTTTCCCAGGGTGTTCAGTACAGCCTATCTCCTTCCCAGGTTGTGCAGCACACAGGTCTCCACTGAAATATACACAGCTGGAATATTCCATTTCTGGTGTGTGGGGGAAGCCACAATTATACTTCATACTTATATTTATACTTTATTATAGTTCATCAACAAAGTAATGACGCATCGCTAGTTTATTTCAATAATTAGAAGCTGTAGACTATCATGACCCTTAAAGTCAGCCAAAGCCAGATAACCGTCCCTGCGTGGCATAACTCGTGTCGAGTGTGCGAAGGAGGCTACAAACACCATGTATGCTAATTAAATATAAATACAGCCATTTTGGCATCTTTACATACTAGGGCCATACTAGAGGGCCCTGCATTTTGAGTAACTCCTAATCACTCACCCCATGCATAGCCTCATACAGTACTAGTATCTGCTCACTGACCTGTTACCACTAAACTGTGCAAAGACATCATAGAATGTACGATTGTCTGCACTCTGTATGTTCACTCTCCCACCCACCTACTCACTCACTTACTCATATTCTCTCAACCGTACCTTATAATTAGTCAGCCGCCGGGGCAGTCTGTGTGCCTGTTTTTATGAGGGCCTGCATGGGGGGAAGGAGGGGCGGGTAGTGACTGTGGAGTACGCGAAATATTTACCACCGTTTACGAATTACGTGAACTTCTCAGAGCTGATTATGAACAGTTATGTATTACGGCTAATTTACTGATTACGAAGAACGGTGATTTTTTGCGGCTGCCTACGGATTAAGAAGACTAAAAAGGTCTGATTACGCCTTACGAAAAATGGCATGCAGGCCCTCCTTCAGGTGTGTCCTTTCCCTTTTCACCCACTGCCCCTTAAACTGTTCACACGTACCATACAATTTCCTATTGTCTCTACAGTCAGTCTGACCCCGTTCTGTCAATCAAAGTCCTTCCGCCCCAGCTTTAGATAATTGCGCAAATTATTTTGGAATGTCCACATGGTTTTAGATCTTCTAAAAATTTGACAATAACGCTTTTCTACTTTTTCTGCAACCACATTATAATACATTATTTTCAGTTTTCATATTCTATTCACATAAATGTCAACGGTCTTACTTAAGTTGACGAGGGGCCTCACGTAAAATAATGATTGCTTTG